GTCTGATAGGAGTCTGGTCCAGGCTCTCTTTCCTCTGTGTTCTGGGCTCATTCCTCTTCTCTTATGCTTGTAATTGAATTAGAGGAGTTACTTCCACCAGGGTGCTCCAGACAGGAAGGGCCAAGTTCCCACAGAAATCCAATGGTAGCAAATAGAAGAACTAAGGGTATGCAGTCTTTTGAACAGGGGTAATTTAATTTTTGTATTTGTTGCTGTGTTTTGTTTTATAATTGTGCCATTCTGTTATAACCTACAGTTGAATATGAATACCATAAGAAATAAAAGAAATGTGTTTTTGTGTTTTGCTTGCTCACTTCTGTTTTCTTTAAAAATGGTACATATGTCACCAATTCTCCAAGGGTATACAAGCTTTTGAACACAAATGTAGTAGGTATGTCCCAGAAAATATAAAGTGCCAGTGCTGATTACTGCGGGAAGTCTAATTCCTGCAATGAAGGTAATTCCACAAAGGGTGGAATGGGTCAGAGGTCATCAATTGCCCACTCAATTTTACATTTAGTTTTTTTGAAAAATTCTATTTTTTCAAACTAAATGGTGGCTGCTTCTGCTCCCTCTTTTTTAGATGCCTTTCATTGTTGGGAGTTTCAGCCTGTCTGGCTGTGTCTTACCTCTACAGATGCTCTTGGTAGAAACTGATAAGAGGAGGCACTTTTTCACATTGAAGGATGGTCAATAAGAGTACAGACTGGATATTTGCCAAAGCTTTGTGGGTGAGTGGGTCATAAAATGCTCATGCCCAATTTTTTCTTCGAAAAAAGAAGTGAATGTCCTTCAATGTAGAAAAAAACAGTGCACTATCACCAAATGCAAGACTCAGTCAAGCAGAGTAAACAACAATAAGAGTGCATTATAGAAAAGGGGAAGCACCAGACTTTAATTTAATTATATTTAATTATTTATATTAAGGTGGGTGAACAAAGGGATGACCTCCAGCACCACTACCACAATTTAGAATACTGTTTTTCTACAAAAAGTTAATAAAAGACCTGCTACACTAAATGTAGGCAATAGTTTCTTGTGCAGTAAACTACAGCCATACACAGTTTGTGTTACTGAGGCAAGAAGCTTGCAATTTTCAAAGCACAAGCAGTGACACAGAAGCACACTGTAAATACAATCTGTCTTTTACTAGAAATAAAATAAAAACAATTACAAATCAGTTAAACAATTCTAAATTGGATGTAAGCTATGCTGGCAGTTGCACTTGGGTGATATTTTTTTAAACGGTTACTGCAACCACCATGACTGCTTATGGTGGCAGGAGTCTGAATGTGCAGGGTTTCTGATTGAAACTCAGTTTTGGCCTGCCAAATGTCAGTTATGTACAAATTTTATGTCTGTTGTTAGAGCACACAGCGAGCATATGAAAATTGGTAAAGAATTTGTTTTTCAATTTTTGTCACAGTTTGCAAGGATAAGCTTTGCTCACCCCTCCTTTATAGTCAATATTTTTTTTCCAAAGAAACCCCTCCCTTGTGTCTCCAAACTCCCTCACCCCTCCTCACACTGGTGCATACTGGGCACATGTGCTCTGAGTCAGCAAAACTGTCCAATCACTATCTCTATGAGAAGCCTGTGATTTGACCGTGTGAGAACCCCCTTATGTCAAATGGAGGAAAGAAATCAGTGACCAGAGCTTCAACCTGAGCTAGATTTCAGGTATGTTAAAAAAACATATTTACAGGGACACTCCAGGCACCCAGACCACTTCTGCCCATTGGAGGGACATCGGCGCTGGATACAGGTAAGTCACTGAAGGTTTTAATACCTTCAGCAACATGGGATGGGAGGTGGGAGGGAGAGGGGACCTGCAGTGCCAGGAAAACGGTTTGTTTTCCTGGCACTGGAGAGTCCCTTTAATCATTTAAGAGAAGGGTACCTAGCCTGATATGCCCAATAGTCCATTATGAGGTAAAAACACATCATTAGTTTTAAGGGTTGGAGTAACCTTTCTTTAATGATGATGATAAATAATGATGCGACCATTGCTGTTCAGCAACTACAAACATGCATTTTTCTAGCCACCCACAACCAATTAAAGGAACACTGTAGTGCCAGGAAAACATACTCGTTTTCCTGACACTATAGTGCCCTGAGGGTGCCCCCACCCTCAGGGTCCCCCTCCCGCCCGGCTCTGGAAGGGGGAAAGGGGTAAAAACTTACCTTTTTCCAGCTCTGGGCAGGGAGCTCTCCTCCTCCGATCCTCCTCCTCTCCTCCCCGTCGGCTGAATGCGCAAGAGCTGCACGCGCATTCAGCCGGTCGCATAGGAAAGCATTATCAATGCTTTCCTATGGACGCTGGCGTGCTCTCACTGTGAAAATCACAGTGAGAATCACGCAAGCGCCTCTAGCGGCTGTCAATGAGACAGCCGCTAGAGGCTTTGGGGGAAGGCTTAACCCATTCATAAACATAGCAGTTTCTCTGAAACTGCTATGTTTATAAAAGAATGGGTTAAGCCTAGCTGGACCTGGTACCCAGACCACTTCATTAAGCTGAAGTGGCCTGGGTGCCTAGAGTGGTCCTTTAATGTTCATAAGATATCTCTTGAATTAGTTCGCACAAAGAAAATAAATAACTATACAAATTAAATTATATGCATATGAAATATATTTTTCAAGTTACAAATTAAAAAATGTAAAAAGTAATTTATTTCTTATATAAAATACTACAAACAAAAGAACAATAAAATATAGAGAATATCATCTCCACTTCTGGCTATGTGACCTTTTTGTAATAATAATTACAGAATTACTGAATTTAATTTAATGTTTTTGATTTCTTTTTTTTTTTTTCATCTTGAATACATATTAATGTTTCTTCCTGCTATCGCTCTGCTTCCTCAGCAGGATATTTAGAACAGAACAGGATGCAAGGTGGAGAAAAAACATGTTTCATTTTAGAACACCTGGAGAAAATCAGTGGAAGTGTTAGTACTTTCCCTATGGTATTTTGCTTATATATTTTGAGTCTAACATAGATTAATCCCTTTGCTGCAAAACTCTTCTAAACTCAGTAAAATAGCAAAAAATATATATAAAAATATGGAATACATATGCATTTGGATTACTGTTCAGGGATATCAAAATTAGTGTTATGGGACTGCACACAGATTTATTTTTGCATCTTCTCAGAGATAATGGGGACTAAAATGTATTGGAGATTATATGGTTTTCCATATAATGTATAGCTTGAAAAATTAGACATGTACGGACATGTTTTGTTACACAGAGAATAGAAGTGGACAAATCTAATTTTTATTTGTATATATAATTTTAGTGATGATAATGTTGGATTTTTAGCTTTGCAAATTTGCAAAGAATATAAAATTCTCATTTGTCCCCTATAGTATATGTTGTAAAATTGATTTAAAATTAATGTTGCTATATATGCATTTGTAGGGAATCTGTTAGACTTTTAATGGAGTATTTTAAACATTATAATAAATACAGATAATTTCATTTGAGACTGTGTTACTAACCTATAGAACACTTTTTCCAACAGCAGAATAACCACTTAGATCATCTTAGCTGAGCTATAAATATTGTAAATACCGTAGCTAGTTTAGAAATGAATTTGCCACTACTTTCCAGTTAAGACTGTATAATTTATTCACTATACCCTTTGTTTGTAAGTCACTCTCCTTAAGCATCTGGGCAGGTTTTGAAGTAAGTGTGAGGAAAGTAGTTAACATCTTACAGTTCGCTATTGCCTGCAGAGTAACATAAGAACATGTGCTCATTTGATATTAGGAATAAAATCTTTACCCATTACGCAACAATATAATACTATAAGTGAGTGGATCACTGTATCTTTTATTTTAGGCAGGTTTCTATAGCTATATAACAATCTTTAATTGTCTACTGTGAGTATTCACGTTTATTTATTGTTCTTTATTGTTTTGTTTGGGACTTTGCAACCTTGTAAATAAAGGTGAATGTTTTTATTGATTCAAGAACCCATTTCTTTGCATCTTCTTTGCTTTAGGGCAATCTAGATATTTGTTGCTCAGCCTTGATAATTGGAGCCTAGTTGTTCCACCACTGGAGTTAGGTTTGGCCATTCTGTTGCTAGAGACCACCAACAAATTGCTTATGCCTAACATATGGAATATATTGCATTGTTTTATTTTGCAGCAAATCATTTATTTATATATATCATTAGTGCATATCTACAGCACTTGTCAGCAAATGTTCATGTATATACCTTCTATTAATACAAATAGAGATAAATGTACTTATACCTAAACATCCCAAAGTACAATATCCTTTAATCCATTATTTATAGTTCGTTCTGTCGCTGCAACCTACAAGCTAGGCATAGCACTGCAACATGAACCGATTTCTACATTTTAAGACGTAACCCTTTGAGAAAAGGTTTTTGAAATGTCGCTGAAGTAAAGTGAACAGGTGTGATGCTGAAAATGGGCTTGGTAATGTCATTAATGGAACACTTCAGCCTAGAGATGACTCATTTTATTGTAATTCATTAGATCATGTATTTAAAATGCATGTTTTGTTGCAATGTATTTATTAGGCTTTCCCTAAATTAAAAGGGTAATTTAGACATGGACCCCATGCTCACTGTGCCTACAGGGGTATCAATGACACCTCACTGAAAATGGCCATTGAAGGGCAAACTGATTGCCTGGGGTTATTGTATCTCTTGTGTATAGGGAACTTACCAGCATTTTTTATCAGGACTGCCCTCGTAGGCAGGGTCAGTCTGATATGCAAATGGTATATGTTCTCTCTGTAATGGCACAAGTTAGCAAAAACATGTTTGATACCTGAACGAGGATTAACCAAAGGGCAAACTTTTGAGGATTCTCTGAGCTTTTACCCTTCTCAGAGTTTTCATATTTATAGCCTTTGCATTTATTTAAAAAAAAAAAAAAGAGAGAGGGAGAAACCAATGCATTACATACAATATAATCCAGAATGCACATAGACCTCAATTAATATGTTTTCCAAATTATTCAATACTGTTAGAAAAATGTTCCAAATGATTTATCTACAGAAGTTATTATTAAAGTATATGGGAATTTGTGAAGATAAATCATTAGGAACGTTTTTCTAACACTCATTTAGAGCACTTATAATTTAAGACCACTGTAAATATAACTGTTACATTTATCAAAATGTCCCCTTTCAGAAATATTTTGTGTAACTACTTCAAAAAACAAGATAGAAAAGTAAAACAGTAAAGAAAAAAAAAAGCAAGCAACATCTCCATTATCATGGCCTCTTTGATCCCGGAAATGACTGAGGTCCATCTAGGAAGTAAATCCTGGATCCAGACTGAAGTCAATATTCTCCTAGTGGTCATTTATTTCAATAAAATACTTTTATTTTGTTCTTTTAGTTAACATTGAAGGAATTACCATTGCTTGAAGCAAACCCAGCAATAGGGTTCTGTTAATTAACTACCATTGGTTCTTTTTTTTTTTCTTTTTTTTCTTTTTTTTAAATTTTTAAATGTAATACAGAATTAGTCATATATTGAGGATGGCACAACCATATCCAAAACCTTTAAAGGAATGTAAAACAAAGCCTAACATTTAAATAAACAACTTTCAGGCATAACAAAGATATTTCAAATATAAGGACATAAGGACATGCATAAGATTGATGACAGTATATGACATTTTATTATATCATAGATATCAACTCTCCTTAAGTTGTTATATTTTTTAATCTAAAGTGACTTAAATCTATCAATGAACCTTATTAACATATGGTAGTCAATCTTCATTAATTCATATTGGTGCGCTAGCATTTTTTAACTTGAACTTTGCTTTAATACTTTCTGAATGCCTTTGTAAATTATCTGATTGGTTGTTAATGAATCTTTATCATAATAGTCTACTAATATTTCTGAATTTTTTTTAAGTAAGAGCAAAGTTTAGATTTAAATAAAACTGCCTATTTAGAATATAATCATTTCTTAAAATGTTTTACATACAACATGACATTTTTAATTACACTTTAAATTCTGGTGCATTATCTTGAAATTATACTAACACATCTGGCTGCAATAATCACAATGTGTTTTATTTAATTAACTTTTACGTGTCTGTAACTCCCTATTCTAATTTACAGTATGCAAGACATTGACAGCAAGCTAAAATTTGGTTATCTTCATGCGTATTAATGCATGCACTGTGCATCATACATGCTATCAAAACATGGTGTATGAAGTGTATGCAGTGTAACTCTTTCAATTTCGAGGCCCTATTGGATCTATAGATTGACATGCTAAGCTTAGAAGTGCTTACACCAGAAAGTACTGAATGTTATGGAGGAAGATACAAAACTCTGGTAACCTAATGTATAGGAAAAAGAAGGGATTATAATAAATGAATATAGAAAGATTTTTAAATGCCATATACCAACCTATAATGGTTGTTGGCATTGTTGATTTGCAATACTTAAATATTGGAAATTAATTCTAATATGGTTTTAATGTTTTTACAATTTATGGATAACATTATTTTTTTTTTTAGGAAGTATGAATAAGCCTTTCATTTAATTATATTAATAGTTGTCAACTGAAGTCAAATCAGTATTTGGAGTCTCTGGATAATAAAAGTGGAAATGTGAAAGAGAATGTTGAAGAAATGTCATCTTGTCAAAGAAACTGAAAATTTTATGTCAAGACACAGAGGCTCATATTGCTTAACCCTTTCTTTACTTTCCACCAATAGCAGCAAAGAATACAAACAGTAAGAAAAAATGGTAACCACAGTGATAGACCACTCCCATAGCAAGTCCCAGTATAATAGTCAGCACCTCCCCACACAATTCCTCTTTCTTTGCTGCTACCAAACAGATAAGTACATGACTAATTTCTTCCATATTATCATTGCCTTATTGTTAAGTATACTGTTTATTTGTATTATTGACATCATCTCAGTCTGTTTCTTATACCTTTCATTTGCATTATTGCTTATAGTTTTCATTATTTTTCTTTTTTTTTTCATATTGTTATATTTCTATGATCCTATCCTATTGTGGATTTTTATTGTACATGTTATCCTTGAGCCCAGGGTTCCAGACCCCTTTTGGCATTATTTTCTGTATCACCTTTCACTTGAACTTCCCTTATCTTTCCTCCATTGCCCCTTATCTTCTCAGGCTTTTTGTGCCTCCATTATTCTTTCTCCTGTCTCCTTGGCACCCTTTGCGCCCGTTTTTCTTCATTCAGTTCGGCAGTTTCATGTATGTATCACGCTGTTCGGCTTATTCTTGGAACCTTACTATTCGTTAGTTTCCCTCATTCACTACCTGGTTTCCATCTATTTTACTTCACAAATTCGCCTTTTCTACCGAAAGTTCGGCTCTTTATTTGATGTTTTGTTAGAATTTTACCGCGAATCTCGCGAGATTGCCGGCGACCATTTTCTAACATCCTGGCTTACAGTCTCTTTGCTATTGCTCGTGTCCTCTTCCTGTCTGCCAGTCTGGACCCTGGTTAACTCCCTAACTTTACCCTTTAATAAGGTATAGCTAGCCTGGGGTGATTAACTCCTGCTAGTTGATGCTATCTCTGTCAGTTTAAACTTCACGTTCTATTCCAGCAGCAATTTAATATTTTGATACCACTAATTTATATTTGTGTCATTGGGGTAATTCTCACAACTATTTTATTATGCCTAAGCCTAAGGTGTCTGCTACCCCACTTTCCCCTGGGGAAATGGATGTACCCCATTTGCTGGATAACCCCAATTCTGCCAGCTCTGGCCCCCCTTCCTCTGCAGGTGACACTATGTCGGTACCTGACGATGCCCAAACCCTGGCACTACAACGCTCCGTTACGGATGCCATTATGGCCGTCATGGAATCCATGTCCTCAGCCCTTTCCCAGACTATTTCTCAAGCCTAACTGGCACACCCTGTGCCCACAGAGGGCTTGGCCACGCTGACACGCTTAGCGCGTTCTGCTTTAAACCCTCCAGGGGACATTCCTAGAAAGGCTACGGCCAAATCCAGACACTTAAACCCCCTGCCTCCAGAACCAATACGACTGGTGTGAATATATCCACCCATGACAGCGTGCCTATGTCGCGCAAGAGAGCCTTTTTGCACCAGGCAGAACAGGCGCGGCACTGGAAATGTGCCAGAGCACATGCAGAGAGCGACTCCGACTCAGAAATCGGGTCTTATGAGGAGGCTGAAGCCGAGTCCGTAGTTGACTCCAATGATGAGAGTGGCGGGCAGGACACTGGCCCTTTGCCCCTGCCCTATCAGGGTTGGTAATGAGTGGCTCTCGCAGCGACTCCCCCGCTACTGCGGGTTCCACCCTCATGGATCCGTCTGGGGAACCTGTGTTTGACCAGGATGCTCTCCATCACCCGAGGTCAGCAGAATGGCTCCCAGCTGACCATGTAGCTAAGTACCTTGAGAGCTGGGTACGGCGCCCCCTTAGCAAGGCGGTGCACAACAAACTCAGGGCAGAATGTCCTAGACCCTTGATTCCCAGTAAAGTCTGTGAGACCCCCATTGTTGACCCCAAAATGACAGTTTCTTTCCAAGATGGGTTGGAATCCCCGCAAGGGATTGGATTCCACGCTAAAGTCCTGCCAGGACAAACTCCTGGACATTTTTGGCCCTTTGGCTAAATTATTTGACCTGGCTGAACTAGCCAGAGCTGAAAACAGGCAGGTTGACCCGGAAGAACTCTGTGGCTGGGTGCAGAGGGCGATCTGCATAGCAGGCAGTGTGAACACCTCCCTGTCTATAGAGCGGTGTAAAGCCATCCTCTTTAAAATTAAGCCCAAATTGGCTAGCCTCACCCTCAATCCTGAGGTGGGCAAAGATACCCAGGGCCTCTTGTTTGGAGATTCCTTTATTAAGGATCTGGGGCGCTTTGTGGGTGCTTTTACAGCCCTGGACAAGGCTCAATCCTCTATGAAGAGGGTATTTCAGGGACGGGTCTCTACCAGGGCCGGCAGATTCAGGGGCCATCTGTCCGGCTGGTCAAGTTACAATGCCCGTGGATCAGGACGGGGCTCCTACAACCAGAGACCGCCTTACCAGGAGATGAGACACCAGTCCCCTTTCTTCCCCTCTCGCAGAAGACCATGGCGCTCCAGATGCCTTTACGGTAAGCTCACACCTACCTCATGCTTTTTCCAATATCTGTGTAGGGGGCAGACTCATCATCATTTTTTCCATGCCTGGTCAGACATCACCTCAGATGCCTGGATTCTGTCCACAGTGAGGGGGTTTCACATAGAGTTGGTAGACACCCCGTGTCATATTCCTCCCCCTCACCCTATTGTACTTTCAGGGACAGACCGCACCTTAATAGACGAGGAGCTATTGACCCTCCACACGAAGGGGGCGATAGAACGGGCCCCAATGTCACAGGTGTTCTCAGGAACATCTTCCGTGTGGAAAAGAAGGCAGCCAGATGCGCCTAGTTATCAGCCTTCGGGCCCTAAATACCCTGAATACCCTTCGAAGAGACTGGATGGTGAAATTAGACCTCAAAGATGCATACTTAACGGTCCCTGTGACCGAGACATCCAGGGACTAACTACACTTCCTCTGGAAAGGTGACACTTGGGGCTTCACATGCCTCCCCTTCGGGCTCTCGTCAGCTTCGTGGTGCTTCACCAAATTGATGCGCCCTGCCATGGCTTGGCTGCGCAGCCGAGGAGTACAACTGATAGTCTATTTGGACGACATCCTCCTCATGGCACAGGACCGCGGGGTCCTCCTGAAACACCTACAGTGGACGATGGATCTACTCTCTCGCTTGGGTTTCCTCCTCAATTGGGAAAAATCCTGCCTGTCCCCTTCCCGATGCATGGAGTTCCTCGGGTTCACAGTGGACTCGGAAGCGGAATCTCTCAGCCTCCCTCCGACCAAAATACGCTCCAACTCATTGGCCTAATGGCCTCCTCAATCCAGGCGGTGTTTCCAGCCCCTCTCCATTATCGTGCCCTCCAGCGTCTGAAGATCGCACATCTTTGCAACGGAGCTTCATATGCAGACATGGTTTCCCTGGATTCGGAAACCTGGGACGAGCTGACCTAGTGGATCCACAACCTATCCGCTTGGAATGACAAGTCCAT